ATTTCTATTCTATTCTTTATTTCTATTCTATTCCATCCCATCCCACCCTATCCTATTCTTATGATTCTTGATGAATGTATTGACTCAGCCTTCCATCCTTCCGAGGTGGGTAAAATGAGGACCCGGATTGTTGTTGGGGGCGATATGCTGACTCTGTAAACCGCTTAGAGAGGGCTGAAAGCCCTATGAAGTATATTCCCCAATATAAGTCTAACTGCTATTGCTATTGCTATATTAAGATGAAAAGAGGAAGGGATCAGAGTCACATGGGGCAAGAAAAGGTTTGGTCAGGGCTAAGTGAATTTAAGACAACAAAGTAACACAACATTCTTAAGAAAAACATCTTTAATGAGACCAAGGCCTGAGACAGGCTGACTATACTACAATGTATAAAACACTTACTCAAACTTGTAGCAAAAACTGTACATGCTCTGGTTCTTTGATTCCTTCAGAAGATCTGATGTTTCCCAGAAACAGGCCAGATCTTCCAGCTGCTGTGTGAAGCACTTGGGGTTCAAGTTCTCTTCCGTCAACAGGCGTGCAACTGGATGCAAAGCAGAGAGAGACACACGTTTAATGTTACCCACTGATACGGGACTGCAGGGATCACAACACAACCATCCCTATCCGATCACTGGGCAGCAAAATTGTATCTTCTGAAGGTGGCACAAAAGAACGCTGTGGGGTGTTTGCCAATTATGCCAACCTGATATGTTCCCCCAATTAAGCGAAGCCTCAGGCAGACACAAAGTAAAACAAAATACCAACAAACACAGCCCAAAACTGTTAGCATTAATTGATTTAATTAATTAATTGGCATACAAATAAAATAAATCTAAATCTAAATCTATCTAAGTCAGAAAAATAAGTTGGTTATTTGAAATGGAATGATTGGAAATCTAAGAAACTATGTAAGTTACAAACATTTGGAGTTTCACCTGTAAGTTCCTAGTTCATGACCGAGCCTTCTGCACTGGGCTAAAACTAAAGAAAATAAAAGCTTTTCTGCCAAACAGAAATTATAGCATAGAGTCTTGGCTGTAATTTTCCTTTCTTTCAATTCCTTCAGCAATATGTATAACCTCAGGATATATAGCAATGTGTTTTGGATTCTAGCTGGTAGCAGTGGATCATAAAAACAGTACCTTGTTTGCCAGAATCACATGATCCACAATACTGTATGCCTTGTACTATTCTGCTTCCTTAGGAGTACATATGCCTACACACACACACACACACACACACACACACACACACACACACTCTTCTATAACAACCATCTCCTTCTGACATGTGTTTCCTGAGATAAGGGACACTTTCCCTACTTTCTGTTCACGCCATAGGTAAATTCACATCAACCCAAAGGTTCAGTTATACACAGAAATGCAATAAATACAAATAGTAAGGAATCTGCACATAGCATCTGGATTTCTTTCACTTTTTTTTTTTTACATTCCTCATGCTTTCCTGTATACAATTGTATGAAATAACCTGCATAAGTAAGAAGAGCTAATATACATGCTAGAAATTAAATAAATAAGTCCTGGCGAGAACTTTCTTCCAGGACTGCTGAACTTGCTAGAAAGATCTGACTATAATCTCTTAACCACTTATAGCATGGGGCTATTGGTTGGGGGATGGGAGTAAACAACTGGACTCCAGAGACGCAACAGAGTTTGTGATAGTATTTGTGCCCCAGGTTTGCACATGGATTCCTCTAGAAGCTCGGCACTTTAGTTCTTTTTAAATGAATGGGATTTGGAGAAAAGGCTTCTTTTGAGTAGCTTATTGTCTTTGAATTCAGTCTGGAGATTCACAAATCAAACACACATGCACGCACATGAACACTGATGAAAACACACCCAAGAAAAAGGTCACGTGCTCTTAGAGAGTATACTTGAAGTGGGGGGGGGATTAAAAGGTGGGAATTTAAGCACAATAGGTCCATCCTAGAGAAAACAGACTTGAAGACTTGTGAAGAGCCTGATAGATAAGATATTTAGAAAAGTATTTGCTAGAGAGAGGACAAGACAGAACAGGATGTGGTGAGAATATCCCTTTGATTAGAAACAATTAATTCTTAATTCCTTGGCAAGAAATCTGCATGCTTTGGGGCAATCTTTTCAAAGGTCTCTATGGGGCAATCCCTATGCCCTATTGCAATGCACAATGTGCTTGAAAAGAAGATGCTGAAGTAGCACATGCTCGCCAGTTGAAAACGTACCTTCGTTTCCTACTGTTAGATTAACATCTTATGATTTCAGACTATTTTCAGTGGAATCTTTGCTTTAAACAAGAGAGTGTACTTTGACTGAATTATTCAACCCATGACGCTTTGCAGCCTACACTGTAAACTAAAGCAGAGTTTAAAGTAGCACAAAGACTTGCTGTATTAGCAGAGCTGGATCTGTCAGGATTTATTTTTTTTATTACAAGTCCTTGCTGGATGTCGTAGTCAGGAAATTAAATTGTGAAAGACCCTCACATACACAAATGCATCAAGTGAGACAAATCACACCTGCTTCACAACCTATGATTACATGCACTCATAATGAGTCCTGGAATATTTATGTGACACAGGCCAGGTTCTCCCTATGGTCAGAGCGAAACCCTTTCTTTTTTAAAGTAAGCATTTGCTCCATGTTACAATCTCCATATGTCTAACTGTTGTTTTAACAAATCAGTAACAAATATCAATCCATGACTATATAGGTGAAACGAAATATAAATTAGAAAGCATTTTTCTATTATCTTTATGTAAATGAATATTTTTGGATTTCAGAATTTTAAGATTACCATAACAGGGAGAAACCATCTTTAGGTGGGAAGTATATGGTGATAATGTGCCTGGGCTCCTATACCTGCTTTTGCTGATGTATGCAACACAAGTCAAAAAATATTGTAGATGCTACTAAGGATCTCTGTCACTTTGTGTAATGTCTCTATAATCGGTTCCACCACAAAACCGTGGACGACAAAAGCGCGCTCGACGAAAGCGTGTACGTGACGTCATCACAGCGTGACGAAAACATCGCGCTGTGAGCGGAAAATTTAAAATTAAAGCGAAAACCTTACCCTAACCCCCCCAAACCTAACCCTAAACCTAACCCTTAACCTAACGCTAAACCTAACCCTAACGCTTAACGTAACCCTAAACCTAACCCTTACCTTTATGTGAATCGGCTTGCTTTAATTTAATTTTAATTTAATTTATTTTTTAATTTTTTTCGTCACGCTGCTGATGACGTCAGGTACACGCTTTCGTCGAGCGCGCTTTTGTCGTCCACGGTTTTGACGGGTCACGCTATAATCCACCCCCTCCTCCCACTCTTGCTTAAATGGCTATAACTGAGCATCAGCCTTTTTCGACTTGATGCTCTCCCGAGAAAACATCTCTTAAAGCCTGTAGCCAGCATGGCTTTTAGCCCTGCCAGGGAAGTGCTAAGCTAAGTCTGAAAGATTGCCGTCAAGTTGCCGGCCTTGGAATATCAAAGCATGGAAGGCTTGGGTTGTGCCAGGATCACCCCTTTCATGCCACGGAGCGCTGTTGATCTCTGCTCCTCAACAGCGCTCTACATGGGGCAGCCCTTGAAGAGCATTCGGAGACTTCAACTCGTCCAGAACGCAGCCGCGCGAGCGATCGTGGGTGCACCTTGGTTCACCCACGTAACACCTATCCTCCACGAGCTGCACTGGTTACCGATCGGTCTCCGGATACGCTTCAAGGTGCTAGTCGTAACTTATAAAGCCCTTCATGGTATTGGATCTGGGTACTTGAGAGACCGCCTGCTGCCAATTACCTCCCACAGACCCATTAGATCGCACAGGGTTGGCCTCCTCCGGGTTCCGTCTACCAGCCAATGTCATCTGGCTATTATCCGGGGGAGGGCCTTCTCTGTGGCAGCTCCGGCCCTTTGGAACGAACTCCCCGCAGAGATTCGGACCCTCACCTCTCTCCAGGCCTTCCGAAAAGCCGTCAAAACCTGGCTTTGCCGGCAGGCCTGGGGTTGATGAGTTCCCCTCCCCTCTCGACTTGTATGGCTGTATGACTCTTGTGTATTTTAATTATCTGTATTTCGTTTTATGTTCCCCTTTTTCCCCTTTTGAGTTGTTCGCCGCCCTGAGTCCCTCCCGGAGAAGGGCGGCATACAAATAATAAAATTCAATTCAATTCAGTAGCATCTCTCAGAGGTTTTCTCCCTTCCTCCGTGTTAACTGTGGGATCTAACCTGCACAGGGAGGGATTTTTCAGATCCATGCGGCCTTACAAGAAACTGCTCTCAGACTGGAAAGAGACCAAAATGGTTTCCTGCAACCTTTTCCAGTCTGCCCAACTTTTTGGAAGTCTGGTAGCAGCTCTCCTGAGTCACGTATGTTATTAAAAGGCACGTTTGTTCGTAAGCTCCAGCTGACGTCATTCCATGCCTAGAGTGGCTTTTCCTCCCTTGACCCCTCGTGATTTTTTGCTACGTAAACTAACGTGGCTCTCCTCCTCTTCCTCTTCCCAGTAGCAATGTTTGTCAAGCCCCAGCATGGCTGGCTGGGAGTTCTGGGAGTTGAGGTCTACACGTCTTAAAGTTGCCGCGGTTGAGGAAATCTGCTCTAGCCAGATATGGACTGCATGAATTCAAAGGTGCTAAAAGCAAACACCACATTAGACCCCTGGCAGGCTGGCCTCAGGTGTTACCTCTTGACCACCTGGTGCCTCTGACTCTTCATTCCTTGACACTATCTCCTCTGCTCCTGCCACCCTGTGATGACCCTCACCTGCCTCCCTCCTCCTTGCCCTTCCTGCCCTCACTTAGCCTTCTCAAGAAGAGTACCTTTGCTGTGGAAGTGTGCACCGAGATCCCTAGGTCCCTCCTGAAGTGAGCCAGAAGCCCAAAACACCAGGACCCAAAAGGCGGCAATGGACCTCCAGGCCTGCTCCATGCTTTGGTGGGAGAAAGGGACGCCGTTTCTCCAGAAAAGACTTTTCACCTGCTCTGCCAGTTGGTAACTGACTGCAGAAGCTGCTGCCTGAGTCTTTGCTCCACAGCTGGAGGCTGCAGATAAGAGGGCGGGCACTGGGTTGAGAGAGGTAGCGGGAAAGCAACAACAACAAATTGCTTCATCTGCGAGCAGACGGGAGCCCCCTCTCCCCCTGGGGATTTCTCCTGTGCATGGCAGCTTACTCTCTTCTTACACTCAGGGTAAGGCTACGTCAAATGTATTGTAACCCAACGGCAACTCCAGGATACTTCTAGTCCACCCCAAAGCTTGAAACTTGCTCACTTTCCCCAATCTTGGGGGGGCATCTGTCTTGGGTCTGTGTCTCTCCCATCCCGTGCCAAGGGCATTCCTTTTGCTACTCGGTGTGCCATGCAAGTTATTCCTACTTCAGAGGCAAGAATGCCGCGAGGGCAAAAGAGAGAGGAAAAGGATTGTTAAAAATCTGATGGACAAAACGGGGGTAAACAACAACACCTCACAGAAAGCAGAATAAACAATCTGCCCTAAAGATTATGTTAATGTCGGAGAGAACCTCCCAAGTGCAGGAATTCACAGGAATAGAACCTTTAATTGATTATGTGCCATACATCCATCATTTGGGACCCCACATGGCACTAAAACACAGTTGTGATGCATTTGGATTTGGCCCTGATATTGTAGGAAGCATTAGTGGCTACTGGAGCTTGCGCCCCCTGATTTATGCCTCTTAGTTGCTGTGGGAATAGAACATAGAATAGTAGGATAGAGGGCCCCTTGGAGGTCCTCCAAACCAACCCACTGCCTGTGGCAGGAGGTTCTATTTGTTCCAGACTTTCTTTGGACTTGATGGCATCATAGAGAGAAATAAAATAATAGAACAATAGAGTTGGAAGCGATACTGGAGGTCCTCCAGTCCGACCCCCTGCACAAGCCATTTGAATCTAATTCTTCTGTCAGGCATTTTCTCCTTATTTCTAGATTGTTTCGCTCCTTGATTAGTTTCCACCCATTGCTTCTTGTCCTGCCTTCAGGTGTCTTCAAAGAATAGCTGGACTCCCCCTACTTTGTGGCAAGCCCTGAGATATCGGAAGAGTGCTATCCTGTCACCCTTGGTCCTTCTTTTCATTAAACTAGACATACCCAATTCCTGCAACCGTCCTTCATATCTTTTCGCCTCCAGCCCCTTAATCATCTTTGTTGCTCTTCTCTGCACCCTTGCTAGAGTCTCAATATCTTTTTTTATATTGTGGCAACCAAAAAGGGATACAACATTCCAAGTGTGATGTAGTATCTTCTTTCAAATAATCAAACCATCTCTATTAAGTTTTAAAGGAAGTCTCTGGACTTGCAGAGGAAAAACACGTATGTGTCTAAGACGGGCAGATAAAGACATGATACAGATGATGGCCTCTGACTCTTCTTAATGCTGGAGGGGAAAGACCTTTGGGGATTCAACTGGGCATCTTCATGGGATGATTTATGACGGTGTGGGTAGCACAGAGAGTGGGAAATAGGAACACCTACAGCAGTGTTTCTCAACCTTGGTGACTTTAAGTCCTGTGGACTTCAACTCCCAGAATCCCCCAGCCAGCGTAGCTACGCTGGCTGGGGTATTCTGGGAGTTGAAGTCCACAGGACTTAAAGTCACCGAGGTTGAGAAACACTGACCTACAGCTATGATTCCTTTCAGTTCTGAATCAATTTGGAAATGATTTCTCTTTTGACCAGACCAGCGGCAAATGTGCAGCCTGTTTTAGGTGGGGAGGTGTGGAGCTGAAGGCGAAAAGGAGGAACTACAAACAGAAAGTTGTTTAGGGGTGATAAGAAAGCTTCTTCTGCAGTGGACTTGTTTATTTCAGGCACTTGTGCTTTTCGAAAACAGATAGTAGAGCTGTAATCCCTTATCTGATCTCTCTCCCCTCACCACCACCGACCTCCGAAAATTGGTTGTTATTCAGCTTTAAAAAAAAATATTTCCAAAGAAATGTTTCTCTTTATAAACACATTTATTTGCTATACTGCTAGTGAAATAGTCATGTCATAATCTAACATACCTGATATATCTGGCAAATTTGTAGGAACTATTTTATTATTATTATTTTTCCTAGAAAAAAAATCCAGAAGTAAAAGTTTGGGCAAACAACATTTGGGATTAGAGAGTTCTGAATTTGATTAATGTAGTTCAAGGATTAAAACTGAATGGAGGTCACCGGTCTTGCACCAAAAAAAAATAATGAAATGAAATATTAATTACTAATGTTCCACTCATCCTAATACAATTTTTGTCATTTCAAAAAAATAATTTATGAAATCTAGTTTACTGCTGCAATCGTTGAACAACGTGGGTTTCTTATGCTCTGTGAACTTGGGTTGTTTTCCTGCAGATTTTATTACCAAGTTAGGTAACTTCAACAGAGCGAGGGAAAGTGAAATTTGCTGGATATTTATAAGATAAATTATCAGATAAACTATCCAAGAAGAAGCAATAACTTAAGAAGGAGCCTTTAAAGAGGAAGTCCTCACAAAGACTGAAAGGACAAGCTACTCTATAAACAGCCAGCAATCCCCATCCTCCAACACCCTGATGGTGCGTATAATTAAACCTCTGCAAAACAATCAAAACTCAGAGAACACCAGGACCCCAAAAGTTCAAGCCTGAACTACATATGCACACACAAATATGTGTACACACACACACACACACACACACACACACACACATTCTATTGTTGAACAGTTTTAAACAATTCATTTAAACCTCTCAAATTTTTGGCTCCTTTTTTCTATTTTGTCAATTTCCTACTTCTTTTGTTTAAAAAGGTTTTATTTCTTTTAAAAAACACAAATATTTCATCATTCGTCAATCATTAAAACATTGAAGTACAATTTTTTTTGTATGCCCCTCCCTTTTGTATGCCCCTTTTGTATGCGCTAATGTAAATAGTAGAATGCTTCAGTTTGGCAAGATTCTGTCTTGTGTGGAACAATAAAGAAATCTGTTTGGAAGGACCCCCCCCATGTCCATGTCTTGGTTTCTGGACCTGACACATTCTCAGTTTAAGACAGCAAGGATAAAGTCCAAGCTCTTATTGTTTTTAGGCCTACAGGTAATCCATTTTTTTCCTGAATCAGGGAATGGGTTAAATTGCAGCTTTGGGGGAGTGGGCAGTATCTTCAAAGCAGTGGTGGGTTTGAAAAATTGTTCGAACCTACTCTGTGGGTGTGGCTTCCTTTGTGGGAGTGGCTTGCTGCTCATGTGATCAGATGGGAGTGGCTTGCCGCCCATGTGGCCGGATATGAAGATGCCGACGACACTTGTCAGAACCACCTTAAATTACCTCACACACAGCACTGGCATGCATGAGAATAGGATGTAAACTTGTTTTTTAAAAGGCATCTTTGGTTTGCGTTAAAACAACTTCAACACACGCAATGTTCTGATTGCACCACAAACGCAGTAGTCATCCTTACCTTTCACAGAGGCACTGGGTTTTATAAATAGGAGCATGATCGTGTAGAATAATCCTATCCAAGGACCAGTGGTGGGTTTCAAAAAAAGTTTGGAACCTCTTCTGTAGGTGTGGCCTGCTTTCCGGGTCCACTGGTGGAACCTCTTCTAACCGGTTCGGTAGATTTGATGAACCGGTTCTACCGAATAGGTGCGAACTGGTAGGAACCCCCCACCTCTGCTTCAAAGCCTCAAGGGAGTTGGGCCGGCTTTCCTTAGCACTTCTATGCACTACTGTTTGGTTCTTATATTAGCTGCCTCATGCATCTTGTTCATAAAGTTATTCCAACCCCGTTACTGATAACCGATAGAATTGAGCAAGCAGCACTAAATAATTTTTTGGCATTTTCTGGATATTCTGGCCTTCAGAGAATCTTGATTAATTTAATTTTTAAAAAAAGATTTGTACTGCTGTATGAAGCATGCGTACATTCTCACAGTAACTGGAATATCTGGAGAGCAGGAAGGAAGAAGGCTTAAAGGGTGCAGCACAGGTTTATTGAAGGTTGTCATACCTGCCTACCACTGTGCTTGGATTTGGTGGGTCTCTGCAGCAAAGCTGGGATAGATTGTCTGGACTCCACACGGTAGTTCTTCAAGCAACAAAAATGGGAAATATTACAGAATCATGTAAAAAAAATGTATGCTTTCACGTAGCATAGACAGCACGATCACAGAGCATCTAGCTACACAGGTCTGCCCTGGACGACACTATTAAAATTTGGAGGTCATGACTATGTAAACATTACCTTCCCTTAAAACCAAAGACTAGCTCAGTTTTTTTGAAGCCACCAGGCACTATCATTTGGGGGCTCCTTGGAACCACAGATGGCAAAAGCTGCTTTTTGAGATTGATGACCTTTGGGAAGTATGGCTGTAGATCTCCCGGGAGGAATCTGAGTGAACAAAGCAGGATCCCACAGAGGACCAATTCAGAATAATCTTTGATGCATCTTTGGTGGGTTCTTCGGTTCCTTAGCCTCTTGCATGGGTTACAGAAGGATTATAATCAGACAAGCTCTCTCTGGCTTTGAGGGTCTGTTCCTACGCTGTCCAACTCTTGATTACTCTGGATTTCTAGAGGGGAAGTTGGGGACTTTGAACAAAATGATGTCCTCTTGGAGGCATCAGAAAGGGATTGTGGCACAGAAGGAGGTGCCAGCAATTTCTGCACAACACGAGGGGGAGCTGGGCTCCTGGTTTCCAAGGGAAGTGGGTGTTGAGGAAGAGACAGACAGGGAGGAGGAGAATCAGGTGTGGCTATTGCTGACTGGTTTTCCAGGAACCAGGAGAAAGGAGCTGGAAAAGGGTATGTTGAAAGGCATGTTCTAAAGTATGGATCCTCAGCCGCGGATGGTGGAGAAAGGGAAACTGGGCTATTTGGTGCACTATGTGAAAATATGAAGCATGAACTGGCAGCAAGGGCACCGGTGTCAAAATCTTTGAGGGAGGGAATGCGGCAAAGAGCAGCTTTGCTCCCAGGCTTCATCCTCAAGTGTGGTTCACTGGTGAGTCCCTTTTTCTGGAGCAGGAAGAAGTCATGGGGCCCAGCAGGATTCATGGCATAGAAAACATTTGCACTTTCGGGAATCAGCAGCTCTTCAGGGGAGAAAAAGAACAAAACACAGAAAGAATGAGTGAGCAAGACGAGCAGCCATCTCCCCTCCTTCTATCTTAACAGAATAACAGAGTTGGAAGGGACCTTGGAGGTCTTCTAGTCCAACCCTGTGCTCAAGCAGGAAACCCTATACCACGGGTGGGTTCCTGCCAGTTCTAACCTCTTCTATAAAAGAGGTTCCATAAATCTGCAGTGCTGTTTAGAACCGGTTCCAGCTCCCTCCCCTTGCCCGTCCGCACATCATCACGCTGAAAAGCGAGAGGAGGAATTCTGGGAGTTGAAGTCCACAAGTCTTAAAGCTGTCAAGTTTGAACACCCTTGGGGTTTTTTTTCCTATAGGGTTAGGGGTGCAAGGGTCTTGTAACTTGACAGCTTTAAGACTTGCGTGCTTCAAATGACAGATTTTCTGAGCCAACGTTTTGGTTGCTAAGCAAGAGTGTTGTTAAGTGATTTTCCCCACATTTTACAAGTTGCCCACGCCCCCCCAGTCACATGGCTGGCAAGCCACTCCCACAAAGCAGGCCACACCTACAGAAGAGGTTCTAATTTTTTTTAAACCCAACACTGCCCTATACCATTTCAGATAGATAGCTATCCAGTTTCTTTTTTAAAAACCTCCAGTGATGGAACTCCCACAACTTCTGAAGGCAACTTCTGTTCCATTGGTTGACTGTTCTCACTGTCAGGAAATTTCTCCTTATTTCCAGGTTGAATCTCTTGTTGATTAGTTTCCATCCATTGCTACTTGTCTTGCCCTCTGGTACTTTGGAAAATAGGTTGACCACCTCTTCGTTGTGGTAGCCTCTCAAATATTGAAACACTGCTATCACGTCACCCCTAATCCTTCTTTTCACTAAACTAGAAAAACCCAATTCCTGCAACCAACCTTCATATGTTTTAGCCTCTAGCCCCCTAATCTTTGTTGCTGTTCTCTGCACCCTTTCTAGAGTCTCAAAATCTTTTTAATGTTGTAGTGATCAAAACTGGATGCAGTATTCCAAGTGTGGTCTTATCAAGACGTTGTAAAATGGTACTAACACTTCACGTGTTCTTGATTCTATCCCTCTGTTAATGCAGCCTAAGAGTGTGTTGGCTTTTTTTGGCCACTGCAGCACACTGTCATATTTAAGTGATTGTCCATTCGGACTTCAAGATCCCCCCTCGCAGTTATTGCTATTGAGCCAGGTTTCATCTAATCTTCTGTAATTCAATTACATCTAATTAATTTAATTTACTTACATCTAATTTTCTATACATTTGGTTAAAACCTTACATTCCTCAGTACTGAATTTCATTTTGTTAGATAGGGCCCAGTATTCAAGTTGAGATCCTTCTGGATCTTGAGGCTATCTTTTGGGGTGTTGGCTATTGTCTGCAAATTTCATGAGTTCCCCTTCTATCCCATCACCCAAATAGTTTATGAAGATATTGAAGAGCACTGGGGCTAAAAGAGAACCTTGGGATATCCAGTGTCTTACTTCCCTCCATTAAGGACTACAAATGGATATATTTTAACCCATGCTTAGTTGTCCTACATGTGATGATATGTTATGAAAATGGAAAAAAAAAAAATTATAACAAGGACTACAAATTGAGTGTGATTTGTCAGCTAGTTACAAATCCATCTGGTGGTGATGCTGTCTGACCCATATTTACCAATAAGTAGGTTGTGGTCTACTTTTTCAAATGTCTTAGTGAAATCCAAGTATACTATGTCCACAACATTTTGTTGGTCCACTAATTTAGTCAAAAAATGAAATAAGATTTGTTTGGCATGATCTGTTTTTGACAAACTCATGTTGCCTTCTGGTTATAACTTTGTTTGCTTCTAGGTGTTCACAGACCTGCTGGTTGATTATCTTCCCAGGATCTTCCCAGGTATTGATGTCAGGCTGATTGATCTGTAGTTTCCTGGATCTGTCCCCCCCCCCCTTTTTTTTTTTTTTGAAGATGGGAATTACATCAGTGATTTTCTGGTCCTCTGGTAGTTCCCTATTGCTCCAGGATCTTTGAAAGATATGATTCAATGGTTCCAAGATCACATTTGCCAGCTCCTTCAGGACTCTGGAATACAACCCTTCAGGTACTGGTGATTTGAAATCATCTAGAGTGGACAGATGTTCTCTTATCATTTTCTTGCCTATTTGGATTTGAGTCTGTCTTTTATTGTTCTGTCTTTGGTAGTTTAGACTATTTTTTTTCTTTTTGTGTGTGAAGGCAGATGCATAGAAAGAATTAAGCAGCTCTGCTTTCTCTCTGCTGCCTGTCACTTCCTTGCCATCTTCTCACCTTAGTGAACCAATTGTTTCTTCGACTTTTTTCATGTTTTTTTATATGTTGAAAGCATTGTTGTTGTTGTTGTTGTTGACATTTGTTGCAAGATTCAGGCTATTTACTGGCGTGACCCGAGAAAAGGGCGAACGTCAAAACCGCGCCCGACTATACCGCGTCGCTAAAACCGCGATGTCATCAACGCGGCGACAACAGCGCGGAGACAGAAGGGCGCTTTACAATAGCGCGGAGACAGAAAGCCGATTTAACTTAAGGTAAGGGTTAGGTTTAGGGTTAGGTTAAGGGTTAGGTTTAGGGTTACATTTAGCGTTAGGGATTAGGTTTAGGTTTAGTTTTAGTTTTACAGCGCACTTCTGTCTCCGCGCTGTTGTCGGCGCGATTCAGCACTCATTCATCGGAGCGCTTTAGAACACGCGGTTTTATCCCCGCGGTTTTGTCGAGCGTGGTTTTGTCGTTCGCCCTTTTGTCGGTGAACCATTTACTGGTATTCTGCTTTAATTGTATGTCCTTCTTTCCATTTTTTATACTGGTTTTATATAGTCTATGTCTCAGACGCTGGTTTGATTATGTTCTATTGCTTATGTCTGCATTACGTTGAACTCTAATGTGACGTAGTCACTCTTGCCAAAAGCCCCTGCAGCTTCAATCCCCTGTATCATTTATTCTTTATTAGTAAGAATTTGGTCCTGTATACCTGTATCGGTGTCCCTCTAATTCTTTCCTGTACCTTTTGAATGACAAAGTTGACAGCTAGATTGGTCAGGAACCTGTTCGATCTCCCACTTGATGTAGAGTTTGTCTCCTGGTTGATGCCAGGGTAGTTAAAGGCCCATTACTACTGTGGTGTGTTTCCTACATATATTTGTTAACTGATTAGCAAAAACCTTGTCTATTTCTTCTGCTTGGTTGGATGGCCTGTAGTATATACGTACCTATGGCAATATCATTCTTTTTTTCCTTTCATATTAACCCATATGCATTCTAGGAGTCCTTGGTTCTTCATCCTTGGTTTTAGCATTTCTGTAGAGATGTAGTGATCTCTTACATATAATGCAATAATAGGTTGAGGGAGTCAATCTATTCTCCAAAGCACCTGAATGCCGGACAAGAAGCAATGGGTGGAAACTAATCAAGGAGAGAAGAAACTTAGGACTAAGGAGAAATTTCCTGACAGTTAGAACAATTAATCAGTGGAACGACTTGCCTCTAGAAGCTGTGAAAGTCCCAACACTGGAGGTTTTTAAGAAGATGTTGGATAGCCATTTGTCTGAAATGGTATAGGGTTTCCTGCCTGAGCAGGAAGACCTCCAAGGTCCCTTCCAGCTCTGTTATTCTATATTTTATTATAATGCAGTTCTCCCTCCTCTAATCTGTTTCATTGTCCAGTTTATATCCTTTCATCAGTACATTCCACTTGTGAGTTTCATCCTACCAAGTTTCAGTAATGGCAAGTATATCATCCTTGCCCTCATGTACTAATATTTCAATTCCCCCCCCCCCGTTTGTTCCCCAAACTTTGAGTTGGTGTATAGACACCTGAGTCCTTTATGGCTGATCCTGCCAATCATGTGCTGCACCACTGGTTTGATGGCCTATGGCTGCCTCGGCTAAAATATCTTCTAGGATTCTGGGGTTCTTACCTTGGCCATCCCCCAGAAGTTGGAGAAGTTGGTAGTTGCATGGTGAGTCCTCTTCCAGTTTGTGCTTCTGCAACGCCCGCTGTATCACAGCTGTGGTCTTATCCTGGCTAGTGATCTGTAGGGAGAAATCATCCACTTATATGTAACTACAGGTGAGTCTGATAGACCCAGCTATGTGACAACACCAGAGGTGGGTTCCTACCAGTTCGCACCTATTCGGTAGAACCGGTTCGTCAAATCTACCGAACCAGTTA